ATCATCATCAGTTAAATGGCAACTGGGACTATAAGAAGCCTGTTTTTTTTAAAACTTTTTATCACTATGAATCATAATGTTAATATTGGTTCTGAACAACAGAAATATATATAATGACATATAAAAGGCACTTGAAAATGCACCAAGTATAAACAGAACTAAGATTTCCATTAAGAGCCTGTTTGTTTCTCCTAAAATAGATCATGCAGTGCTGTAATTACAGATCACTTATGATTTCTCTTTAATTTCACTCTATCGAGCCCTTTCAACACGGACCAGAGGATCAGTATTTATCCCCAGGAGGTTTGCACGGCAGAGCTGAGAGTCACCAGCACATGGCAGTACCTGAGAGAAAAATAACAGTGGGAGGACCTCGAGTGGTGGCAACTGGGCAGTGCTGCTGCTTAAACATCACCTGCAGCCATCCCTGTCCTGCTGCCATCCCAGTCAGAGCAGCTTTGTACTGGGGTTTGTACTGGGGACCAGCTTTAGTCTGGACTAACAGGCTGAATATCTGCTCTGGTGTAGAGGTAGACTGAACCCACATCAGTGAATGGAAACTTGAGGTGCATTACTGGAACACAATTTCAGTTCAATTTTATCCAAAAGATAATCCAATTTATTTCCCAGGGGAACATCACAGTATTAATGGAAAAAGCTTTCAAGTAGTTCTGTTATATTCAAGGAATAAAAGGTGATAATGAAGGTGCTCAACAAATCTATATGAGCAAAATATAAAACTAATCTTGATGTAGCAGTACCTGGAAAGATTTTTAAACTGCATCTTGCATTATTACATCTGACATCTGGTGGAATAGAAAAACAGGAGAAATGCAAAAGGACTAGGTGCAGCAGCACAGCAGAGAAGGCAGCAGCTCATTAGCAGAACAGGGTGTTCAGGGGAAGCAGGGAACAGGAAAGCCACTTGGGTTTTGAATCCAGGCTATAAATGACAGGAGACTTACATGGAATTGGAAATTTCCTCTAAGAGACACAAGAAGGCTAAATTTCACAAGAAATTTTGATTTCATCTCTCATAATTATAGATAGATTAGGAGACAGAAACCCTCACAAAACCCTCACTACCATTTTTTCTCCTGGTAAGTATCAGGTAGCATAGTCAAGTGTGTATACTTTTCATACATAAGACTCTGGCTGACATATAGAGTAGTTAGCTACTGTTATGCCTGTAGATTAGCCACACTGTTGCCAAAGAACAGCAAAATCACTTCAAGAACACTTTACACCAGAAAGGGATTACTATATCATTATCCACCTTCACTGCTCCAGCTTGTCTTCCTGCTCCTACCTCAATTCCACAGCAGAGAGTATTAGAGACCTCAAAACTGAAGGATCAATATACTTTGCTTCTGATCAAAAGCTGTGGACTAACAAGAGAACCACTTTGTGCTGAAATCAGTGAGACAGTACAGTCTCCATGAGGATTGAGAAAGAAAGAAAAGCTCTCTCCTCCCTTCCACAAAATAACAGTTTAAAATAAATCAGAAAAGAATTAATTGTTTAAGAAGCTCCAACATACTTGTTTGACTACTTGTAGCTGCTCTGTTAACTGTTGCTGTAAATTTGCAGACTCAGACAATTTTTCCTGTTAAAAAAAAAAAGAAATTATGAATAATTTAACTTGGGGGGAAAAAAAAAGTATTTGATTCCTAAAACCCAATTTGCTCTTTCAAAACTACAGGTAGCAATACTTAATTACTTTCCATGTACTGTCTGCCTTCTGTACAACTACTGTGTTTCTAGGCCACAACATATGTCTGTTACAATGCTGCACAATCAGAAACACATTAAAAAAAGTCCTAGTAGAAGTAATCAATAATCAACAGCTTTTATAAAACAAAACCAAATTTCAGCCTCTAGAAGTTAGTTTGTCAGTGAGTTCATTGATCCTGATTCAGTTTCCTGAGCATCTCAGGATTATTTACTGAACATTTCTGGGATTTAAGTAAATTGCACATGTTAAGTGCCATTCTGAGTCAAACCAAGGGTATTTCTCACCCCAGGATTTCACTGTAGATTGCTAAGGGAAGAGTAAAAAGCAATTATAGATTGACCATTGCCAGTTCTCAACATCAGCAATTTTGGGACTTAAAAGTATTCATTAACTCAATGTGCAGTGCAAATTGGGTCCTTTCATTTCAGTACGAAGCTTACAGGAGGAGAATCCTTGTGTACAGGAAAAAGAACATATCTTTGGGCATATCAACCCAAAGTCTTCAAAATTTATAGCAAGAAATTATTTTTAATAGAATTTCCTGTATCCTAAGATCCATTTTCCTGTCCAAGAACAACTTACAAATGCTGAATACAATTTTTTTTAATCTTGTGGTTTGTTAGAAAAGAAATTCAGGACCATAGGGCTGTGGGTGTAACTCAGGGTATTAGGAAATAATCAATATATTTGCTGCTTTAGGTCTTAGGAATTTTGTAATGTGTGTGAAAATATGTATTAATTTTGAACACAGCCTAATTTATCTCCTCCCATTCTGATTTTCTACCAAAGGATCAGCTCAGACTCTGTGGTTACTGGGATCACACATTTCTAAATAAAATTGCCATGCAAATCAGTCACTTCTCCAAATTCACTTTTGTGAAATATCTGCTTAGTCTCATTTCTCTGTGGATCAGATTTAAGAACGCCTTAGTATTCAGCATAACAAATAAATGTCACTGTCTCCACCAATCTTCAGACATGATTAGGATTGCTCCTTCTGCCTTTTTATTTATTCATGAAAAATTGCATATAAAATTCAAAGGAACAGTAAATCACTATATACAAAAAACCAACCCTCTTGAATGATTTAAAGCAAATAAAAACGAAGTGTTACCTTTAATTTACTCATTTCTTTTAAAGCTTCATTTCTCTCTTTCTTAAGTCTCTCCACATCATCCTCCACAGAATCACAGGTTGTAAACTGTGTGTTTAAATATTTGAAAGATCTAAAGGTTAGGAGGTATTGCTAACTGTGTTTTCCATAAGCCTTAACATCTTATATTAAAAGATCTTGTTTAAAAAATGAGGGCAGAACCTGAATTTTAAAATGCTAAAAATGCTAAAAATGTTGACCAACTTCTGCTCCAAAGGAATAATTATTTTTCCTGTTTAAAAAATACTTTTATGAATCCATTTTAAGTATCGAGAATACAACACTAATAGCCACTGTTTTTTTCAACATTCTAAATATTGTATCATTTTATTTTAGTAACCATATACTGCAAATGCTCTTTCTTAAAGTTACCTCTAGAATAAACTGATTTTCACTGCAGCAGCAGCTCAAATCACTGGGCCCAAGAACTGTTTGTCACTCACAGGTTGTAACAACACAAATGCCACTAAGAAACCTCAGCAAATCACTGTTGTCCAGGCTTATAACAAACCACAATCTAATCACATTAGTTGCTCTCTGCAAATAGGCTGTTTAAAAAAAAAGCTTTACAGAAACTAGGTTATCTTAAAGAACCTCATGGTGTGGAGCTGCTCAAAACATCTGCAAAGATTTGGAGTATTTTACATCTAATAAACTGTCCCATAATTTACATGTAAGAAACTCTCCCAATGTTTAACCACTGAACAGGCACATACTTTACCTGGGAATCCACCAAGCTGGCAGTGTCATTGCCCCCCAGGGATGTAGGTTTGTGGTCATCATCTGTAGCACTCGATTGCACAGAGAACAGATTCCTTGAGACTTCAACGAAATCTGGAAAACCAGTTCAGATTCTGTTGCTGTAGCCCACAAGGTCAATTTAGTAGCTCCTCACTAGAAGCTATACAGCTCCTAACATCACCATGAACAGCCTTTCTTTAATAAATGCAATGTCTGCCCTCTGGAAGCTTCCAAAGGAAAATGCAAAAATCAGATCCCTCGGCAGAGAAACTTTATAAAGCTCTGAGGAATAACAATGTTCAGAACACATCTTGGAATGAAATACCCCCAAATCAAGGAGAAAAGAAAACAAAGGTGGTGTGAAGCTCACCTTCAAAGTACCTGGTCAGAGATGCTCTACATTTGTCAGCCTCTCAAGGCTGCTCTTAATTACAGAAATTTGTGATTTGCTTTCTTATTATGAGAAACCTGCACACCTGCTATACACTTGCCCTGCCCAAGGGACTGGCCTTACAGCAAACTGTCATAACCAAAAATAAGCAGCTCATTCCCATCACAACTGGGTTTAGCTACATGAACTGGGATGGTCTCCATGCAAATCTCTGTATGTGCAACAGCTGAAATCTTGTTACTTCTCACAAACTCAAGTCCATCAGTTTACTTGCTTCAAGAAGTGTCTTTAACCATCAATACTCTCCCAAGTAGTTTTTGGGACAATTACAATGCCCTATTGTCAAGGCAAGAAATTTAGGAATTTCTGAGCACAAAATGAAACTTTCTTAAGGCTGCTCTTAATTACAGAAATTTGTGATTTGCTTTCTTATTACTTAGTTTCAGAATTTCAAGCTTATTTTTATACAGTAGGATAAAGTTTCTTGCCTCCAACTATCATTTTCTTTGCAGCAGCAATGCAATATGGACAAAAAATATATTACTGGCTAAACTTTACCATTTCTATATTCCTACTTTTCATTCTTTTCCATGGTAATTAACAAATTATTACCTCCAAAAGACGCTGTTCCTTTAGAATCTTTCTGAAGTTGCTGCCTTAGGGCTTGCTGCTGTTCATCTGTGAGCTGAATCCCAAGATAATTCAATGCCTGGAAGGAAAAAACTTAGTTTGGAGTAAAAAAAGAAAGGACTAGGGATAATGACTGCAGGGACATGGGGGAGTAATTAAAGAGCTATACTTCAAAGAGCCTTTGTATCCTAGTACACTCTCACTGACAACACTTTTATTCCAGAGCCACTCTGTGACTTTTCCTTCTAATTGAGAGATGTTCAGATATTATTTAACCTTGAATACAGATGAGTGTAATAAGCAAAACCCTTTGTCCTTAATAACTGCCTTAAAAATCCTGAGGGATGTTCTAATTCCCAGAAGAGTTAATCAGTAATTAGATTAACAAAAACAGTAATTTGCCCAATATCTAAAATGAAATATTGTCCTGCAACACGACAGAACTATCCAAATAGAAAACTTTGTGTGTAATTTAGACCTTAAAGTATGTCAGACTAATAATATCATCCAGATGTTTTACCTGGATCATGAAGGGGATAAAGGAAAACTGAGAAGATTTTATTTACCTTCTCCAGCTTTTCTGTTTTGAGACGAATAGTTGAGTTCCTTACTTGATGCTGACCATGATCACTCTGGCTGGGGGTAAGAACTAAGAAGAAAAAGCATAAATTTATAATGATGTAGTTAAAACTGTTGCTTTGAAAAATGTGTTCTGGAGCTGTGTTCATCTCAGCTAAATACCCACTTGCCACAAATTCATGTTAGATTGACTTTTTTCCTTAAAGGACATAGTTGTAATAAACAAAAATTATGGGTATCAATCACTTCCAGTATTTTTTGGCAGGAAACAGTGACAAGTAGCAAATTAGCAGAAAGCAACCAGGAATAACTTTGAGTGATCCATCAAGCATATGGCTTATACTTGTGGTATTTTCTCTTCTCCCAGAGATACACAGTTACTTGGGAAACAGCAGGGGAAACACACTTGTGAATTCCAAGAGAGACCTTCAAGACACACCCTCAGCATAACTGACAGCTCCCAAAAGCATATTGAGTGATCTAGAAAACACGGTGGAAAGAGGGAGAATGACCTGTTGTCAATTCAGGGCTGTGTGGAGGGAGCTTAGACTAAATTCCTCAGGCTCCTCATTCTTCCCTGGGGAGGAACTCCTTTCCAAGAACTCCCATCCATTAGGAGTCCATCACTTCATCATCCATCATTCCCTTCTCTCCAGTCCTTACAGTCAGAAACACAAGTTTTCCTGATTTTAGCTAGTTGCATTAATAACTTGTGGTGCTCCTATTGTACTTCCACTATACACAAGTGATGAAGCTGAGGGAGGGACAGCAGCACAGCTCCTACACAAGATTGCAGAACAGCTGCTTTTCTTTTGGAGTTTGTGCTGAGTTCTAATGAACTCGACACAGTCACAGCTTTGCCATGTCTCACACACCTGTGGATACAACACAGCCACCTCTGGCAGCCTGAGATCATAGACAGAAGGAGCAATTCACTATCAATTCTTTGGATTTTAGATGTATGCAAACAGAAAAAAAGTCATTGTTTACATTCATTATTTACATATACCATTTAGATCTTAATTCATCATTTCATTATGGATTAGAGGGGTACTGAAACCAAAACCAGCACTTGAAAACCAAAGGATCTTGCAGTTTGACATTCTCTCTAAACGAACAGAAGGAATCACATAGAATTCTATTTCTTTTTTTTTTTTTGCAGCTTCACAGCATATCTGTTTCCAAGCTCAAAGTAATTTACATTCTCTTGATATGCCAAAAGCATAAACCAAAACATCTTGAAAATCTCTGACACTAACACCTCTCACATGCTATATTAAATTCTGAAGACAGTGGGCTAGAACCTCGGCAGAATTGGCACAATTCCTCCCAGCTCAGAATGAAAAAGCCTCATGTATGAGTGTGTGCAAAAACTTCTCAAAACTCTCCTGATCTTTTCATACAGCATTATAGAAAAAATCATCTGAGAGATACTTGTGTTTTTCAAGGTTATCTTTGAAAGGTTATCCTCAAAAAAGGGCAGCATGAAAGAAGTGGCAGGTTTGACTAGGGATGTGCTATTAAATCAGAAGAAAATGAAACATGACAAGAAACAGTACAAACTGGAGCTGCAAGGATTTGTGCTTTCTGCTCTACTACCTGCATTATTCAGATGTGTTAAGGAACTGTGGCTTTCTAAGTCTCCTTAAGCAATGAAGTTCCTCTGCATTGCATTCTATTAATCAAAAGCCTTATATTCTCAATATATTAAAACCAGCCATTTGTCTTGTCCCTTTGATTTAGTTGTGGTGTTTTACATGGTCAATATGAAAAACCTCTGTGAGCATTGAACTCCAGGTGTATTCAATACTGTAAACTTTCCAGTTTCAAAAGGTCACATTGGGCCAGCTCAGCCTTCAAGGAAGGAGGAAACCAACTGGTCAGACTTCAATAGGGCAACTGGTTCATTTCAAATCAGAGTATCTAATATTGGCCATAATAAACAGAGGGACAGTGGAATTAACATCAGTGGAGAGACAGCTAGAATGAATCAGATCCTGTATGTTTGTTCTTCCTCTTCTCAGCACATTAGACAGCAAGTTGACAAGCTCAGGTTATGCTTACTTGCTACTGCCTGAAGAAAGAGAACTGCCTGAAGAAAGGCAGTTCAGGTCTGCATACAGGAATACAGACCAGAGCCAGTTCTTCTACTGTGTCAATGGAGACTCACATTTTCGTGTCAGACTCTGCATTTTCACTGTTTCTAAACACAACACACTATTTGTTTCTCTAAGGAATTACAGTTGTTCAGCTCAGATTTGGTACTGACTAAACTCCACAACCTCTGGTTTTCCTTCAGTGTTATTTTCAAAACAGATATTTAGAGACATGATCAAAGTGACTCTTGTCTTTGCTTGAATGTCATGACTCTCAAATATAAACAGACACATATATACTCTAGTTGTTATTAACTGAGAAGCTGTTCGAGGTCTGCATGTTATTTCTGCCCTTCCAATATGCTGCTCTGGTTTGCACAAAACAAACCTGCAGGCAGCACACATGCACAGAGTTCCAGCAAATCAAGAAAGCACAGTTCCTATGGCAACCCAATCTTGATCTATATGTGAGTCTTCATTATCTGGTTTCTACTGAGTCTGTATCATTACTGCTGTACAGCAAATGTTGTGATCACTCATTTTTGTTTGGTTTCAGCTGTTTGTTAAAGACAATATAAGTTATATTTGACAGAAGCTACTGAACAATTCATTGATCTCAGTCCTTTATTTAGGACTATAAACTGGTGCAATGTTCCTTTTTTATAATTTTTTTTTTTTTTTACAGACTGTTGAGTCTCACTCTGTACCGTGTTCTGTATAACAGTTAGCAAAGGAAAAAAAAAGGGTGGCAGGGAATTAACTCAGCACTCACACGTGGCAGACACATCAGGACTTCTGTCTGCAGGAGTTATTGGAGATTGCTCTCCCATCTTGACTCCAGTTTCCATCTATGAAAGAAAATCAAAACTCATGAAATGCCATTTCTAAAGCAAACTACAAATGCATCAATATCAAAAGAGAGGGAGAGGAAGAAAGCACAGGGAGGAAAAAAGGGCTGGAGAGATCAAAACAACCCAAGGAGAAGCTGGAAGGCATGGAGAAGGAATGGCATCAGAAAACTCAGATCAGGGCCTCATCAAAACCTTGGGGTTTGAATATTTTCACAGATTAAGATAGCACAGCCTCTCTAGGCAACCTGTATCAATGTTTATTATCCCTAATAGGCAAGAAAAATGGGCAAGAATTGTAAGTACAAACATAAGAATTGAGAATCACCTGTTTTGACTTTGTGTTTGCCATGGAACATTCTATTCTTCCTTGTTCAAAGACAATACTTGATTTAGCTTTAAAAATACCATAAACTAAAAATGCTTTTTCAAAATCTGAAGTAATAGCTTTAAAAATCTTTCTAATGGTCAACATTACTTCTTTATACTAATGTGAGCCCTATGAACTAAAACAATTGTTGCTTAGCCAAAACAAAGGGGGAAAAAATTCCACATTCTTCCAGGACTTCTTTAAAGCAAAAATCATCATCACAGGGCAAGTGTAACTTTTGAGATAGTGCTGCACTCACACATACGTAGCAAACTGAGAACATCTTATCTCTGAAATTTGTAACTATATATCTAATTAAAAAAATTTACTCCCTAGAGAAACAATAAGGAGAACTTTGTATCTAAGAACACAGGCAATGCTTATTTTTATTGATTTGTTTTCTTACCCCAAGTCAACTAACAGTCTTATTCCTCTCATCAGTGTGGTTTACTCTCCTGCTACACAACATGGATTTTGCAAAAGTTTTGATATTCCAAAGACTTAATATTGTGCAGGAAAATAGCCAGTCATTTTCTTACTAAAATGGAAACTCAGTTAAAATTAGGAGAAAACAACCATTTGCTCACTTTATTCTAAGTGGAGCAGTAACTACTCACAGCATCTGGAGTGAAGGGTGAAACAAGTTTTCCATTAGGAGGTGCAAGAGAACCAAGTGCTGCAGCCTGTTGCTCTCCATATGCTACAGAAGATGTTAAGAGGCTGAAAGGATGTTGCAGATTCTCTGGATAACTGGGAATGTTTTTCTGCCTAATAAAAGCTATCTCCCAAAAGCTTTCAAACCTAGAATCAAAATCAAAGAAGTTTCAGCACATTGTACACTGTATTGTCTGCAAGATTATGTTACTTTTGTAAAAATTACACTTTTCCAGACACTGTGTGTGATGTTATTTCATTAGTTTTCTACAAGGATGCTCTGTCCTCCATCACTAAAAAGGCAAATACTGTGGGGTTGCGTTTTGGTTCAGTTTTTGATTTTTGAAAGCATTAAAAATATCATAATGTTACAAGTCTAAAAGGTCTATGAAATGCTATTGCAACTAAATATTTTAAAAAAAATAATCACAGAATCTCTGGACCTGCTCCAGCACTTCAATATCCCTCCTGAACTGAGGGGCCCAGAACTGAGCACAGGATGCAAGGTTAATCTCTCTTGTTTCCTCCAAGTATATGACAAGTCATTTCACATTAATCTGATCACAGATATCACATAACAAACCATTCTGGAGGGTTAGCTCTTTGGCAGTAACAGATACCTCATCTTGGTCCTGTTGATTATACTTTTGGCCTCTTCATAGGAGACACCAATCATGGACTCTTTGTTGATGGACACGAGCTGATCCCCAGGCTTCAGTCGTCCATCCTGAGACAGCAAATAAAACACCAAACCCACAAATTTCACATGAATTGCTAACACTACAGAAAGAACTGTACAATCACAGCACTTTGGCCTCTTCCTCTGGCTCTGTTCAGAAAAGAAATACCAAGAACAGCTATGCATTCTGCCTGACAATCTCCCAGAAGAAAACAGATCAAATGACCATTAACCACCATCACAGCAGTTGCTATAAAAACTTCAGATCTCAGATTTAGTGTGGCAATACATGGCACTCCTCAGGGACTCATGGCCATGTTGAACTTAATGAGAAAACCAGATTAGTCCATTAGCAATTCACCAGTCAAAACTATGACAGAAACAATATTGTCAACGTTGTGTTTCTGTTGAATTAATTGCAAACTCTCTACCAGCACAAGAACATATCACATTTCTGTCTCAGAGACTCTAAGACAACAGTTTCAATGTGCCAGGCAAGATTTCTCCTCCTCTACTCACATTTTAAAAGAGGTCTCAACAATTTAACTGGAAATTCATGTAATTCACCTCTGGTTACAGAGTCAGTTATCACACTTTGTCTAATGAAACACACACCTGAAATATCTTTGTTATTCAGCTCCTAAGAAACTAATCACAAAACCAATCTGATCATGTGAAACAAACTGTGTACAGAAGATGATCCGTAGAAAAGAAGAAAAAACTCTTATTTCTTCTCAAGACCGATATAATTACACCTGTTTAATACTCACATATCATAACTTTAGCTGTTAGTTTAAACCTATGATAGCACTTTACTACAGTTTGTTTGCTACTTAGTATTTCGGTTTTGATTAAAGAAAAAAGCTGAAATCTTTTATTTTGCTCTCACGTAGCCTATTGCAGGATGTTCATTTCAATGGTGCCCTCACGTGGCAGAGGTTTAGCACATCCTGCTCCAGTTTCCCAAACAGGATAATCAAGATTGGGAAATTACCTCTATTATTGCTAATGTTAGAACCTATTTATGTCTATTGGTTATGTGTGATTGACTTTAAATTCTATGCTTGCAATGAGAAAAATGTTTCAGAAGCCACAACAAAACAGAAGAAACAAAAGATGAATTATCACAATGTATCTATTAAATGAAGTATTTGAGAAATATTGCATGCTATCCTTCCACCTTGGTATTTTAGGATTAAACTCAGTCTACAAACATTCAGTGACAAACAGTTACAGACTGTCTGGGGACAGAACTTGCTCCTGAAATTAGCTCACACCCTCTTGCTTGGCCAGAGGCAAAAGCTGATTATCTATACTTCCAAATAACCATAGTAACTCCACAAGAGACTCTTGAATAAACAGTTGTGTGTACTTGAACCAGACAGTAACGTTATTTATTTACTTTGTAAACCTGACAAACTCTCCTGATTTACATATTGCATCTGTCAGAAATGAAAACACTAATCACAACTGATACACACATTTTATTAGTCTGCTCTTGCAGAATATTTTTTTCTAATTTGCCTACACAATGATTCCCAACTGCAAGGATCCACCTAAATTAAGTCTCAAGGAAACATGATTTTCTGAATGCCCAAGTAAAAAAGAGATGCAACCTGGAGCTCTGTCCCATCCTTTCTGAATTACCTTGCACGGTGCAACCTCTTACAGAAGCTGACTTTGTACCTTCTCATGCATAAACTGGGGAATAAGATCCTCATTTACCCCAAATGAACTTATGAATCACTGCCATTACCATGCAACCCTGCTAGGTGCAGTGAGATAATTCTGGTTGAAGAGAAAGCAAGGAGAAACACAGACATTTTGTATTTAAAATATAGAACCATAGAATCAACTGGGTTGGAAGAGACCACCAAGATCATCAAATCCAACCCTACTGTGGTTACTAGACTATGGCACAAAGTGCCACATCCAGTCTCATCTTAAAAACCTTCACCAGCCTCGTTGCTCTTCTCTGGACCTGTTGTATATGTAACACACTGAAACAGGTACGAAAGAAAGGCACAAATACAGGTGGTGCAAGGGGGAGGAAGGGAAAAAAGATCTTTACCTTATGACAATCACCTCCTGGGACAATTTCGTGGATATATACCAGAGGCCCTTCATTTCTGTTAATTCCTCCCACAATATTCAAACCTAGGCTTGTCCCTTTGCAAACAGAGATAATCTGAAATGCACTGTCCCTGCAAAGAGAAAGAAAAGGACAATTACTTCACAGAACGAGATACTCAATAAAGACTCAAGTGATAAATAATCTTTATCTTCCTGATTTTACAAATATGTATTACAGCAACAAATAGAAATAGTGAACATTCAACCTCAATGTTCCAATCTTACGCTGCCTAAGTACTACAAAATCAGCAACTTCAGGTGCTGCTTTTAGCAATTATAAAAAGAATCAATACATCCTATTACAAGGCTAAAAGCTCCTCTCTAATTTATATATCCAAGGCTTCTGGGAGTACCTAGGTACATATAAACCAGAAACTTTAAATCATCAGGAGACACTAAGATCAAAAGTCAACCTGATTAATCTACTTCTACCATGCAAACAATAATTAAATAGGAAAAAAACTTATTAAAACTAAAAGTTTGCAATATCAATGGTATTATTAATGACAGGATTAAGTTTTTAAAAAGTTTAACCCAAATGTTCCTGCAGCTCACACAAGAGAGTTACAATCAGTTTTGGAAATTACTTTGCAAGCTTTGGGGACGGTGCTGGGACAGAATTATTTCTGCTGATGGTAGTGATGTTATCCTTTGGATGCAGCTGAGGACTCTGTGACCTTGAGGATGACCCAGAAGAAAGGCTCTCTGTAGATTTTGCTTCAGGAAAAGAAATGATGAAAAAAGAAATAAACCACACATTTGGGGAAAAGCACAACATTTCAGCTCATGTTACTAAGCTCAGTAGGACTGTTTTCATGCTAGAAAACAGACAAACTATAAACAATCAGACAACCAAAAGAAAGCTTAAGCCTACACAGGTAGAGCTGTGAGCCACCCAGGGTCCCAGGAATGATTCCTTAAACCATAGCAAGTGATGATCTTTTTTCAAACTGGGTGTACAACCCAAAAACTCAACTGACTTCCCTAAAGAATAACCACCCATGCTATACAAAGGCACCTTAATCAGGCAGCAGATCCACCAAGGTTAGAATTTATGGTACTCTAGCTCAAATTTTCATTAGCACTCTGAAATCCTACGGTACATTTCTGCTACAAATACTTTTCATGTCATGTGTTAATTAAAATTGCTGAAGTAAATTGTAGTATTTTTATTTTAAGAGTTGGGGAAAGCTGACACACAAAGCCCTCAAGGTACATACACATTTAGACTACGAACTAAATGCTAAAGTCTTAGCAACAATGTGTGTTTTGACTGACTTTCAGTCACTTCCTCCAATGTATTTTCAACCCAAATTAGAAGAGTTCTAAGTGCAAGTTTCTGCTCCACAGAAACATGACTACAGGATTCTGTCAGGTTAGGAAGTGATGTCTCACCAGGTAACAGATGTGTTGGAGAAGTTCTTGCAGAGCTGGTGTCACTGTGAGAGCCATACTTATCCATCAGGTCATGAAATTCTTTCCTGTGGCAATAAAAAGATCCTCTTTGTCAGGATCTGGTGTTAATTTGAATGCAGCCTGTGAAACCTGCACTGTTTGTACTGCAGTTACCCTTCCTCAGAGGAACCTCAACTGAAAGAGGGAAGCCCTGGCAAATGCCCAGAAAAGACAAGATCAGGTAACACAGGATAAAGATGGACAAGCAACAGACTAGGAATGAAATGGACTACTGGTAGAAAAGCTAATTGTTACCTCTCTTTATGCTGGATTTCAAAACTTGCAAAATATGTTATCCAAGTCAAGTACAGATAATAACTCAGTGGTATTACCCAGGTGCAGAGCCAGTTATTTATATCAGAAGGAATCGGATTCTTTACCTAGAGAATACTCCTGTTTTTAAAGAATGCTCTTAGTTCAGTTATACTGAACAAGAACCCAGAAGAGACTGACAAAGATGTGGCACCTCAAGAAAAAGAGGACAGAAAAAATACTTATTACTTACTCAATAAAAAGTAAAACAGATGCAAATTCTGAACTTTATTTCTCTTTCTCAGATACTTGCATTCTATTTCACATGAGGCAGATATCATGACATGTTAAATACTGTCTGTGCTTATCTTTTTCATTAGGAAATCTCTCTCAAAAAGCTCCAGCACTGAAATAAGGGCAATTCTTGGTCAGCTGCACTGTTGAAAACAATACTATTGCTAAAACCCAAAACCAGAAGCTCTTTGCAGACACCAATCCTAGTGTAACAAATTGGCAGAGATGTACATCTTGTACCACTGCACTAAAGAAAAACAAAAATGTTTGACTCATCTAATATTGAATCCAGCTTAATTTAAAAAAGAGTTTATAATCTGAGCTATGATTACCTCATTGAGAACTGATTTACAAAACAGAAGTAATCTAGAATGACGAAAGGCAGAAACATCAGCAAATTAATATTACAGAATTAGACAGAGAGAAAGTAAATTAACAGATTGCAGGGCCCTTAATTCCCAGGTAATTCCAGTGACTGCAGAGGGTTGTGGAAAACTGCTTTGTTTTGAATACAAAATTTAATGTACTAATGCCACATCCAGGGAACACATGTCAGCACAGCTGAGTCTAAGTCAAATAATCTTTTTAGCACAGGAATGTAAAGTCCCAAGACATGAATTCACAGGTGTCTCTGGGCAAGGGACTACGGAGTGGCAAATTCTGCCAGCAGATAAAGGGCTGATAGATTTTAATTATTCAAGGAGTTTAGAGGAACTAGGCCAGTATGCTTTGGATAAAAGCAGATTAGAGTGGACCTCACATCTATCTAGGCAGTCTGAAAAAAGAAGAGATCAGAGGCTACAGAGTGATTTAAATGTCTGTCAAATACACGAAATAAAGGAACAGAAAGAAGAAGCTTAAATCGGACAAAAGGCTAAAGGAATTTAGAGAAAAATCCTTTATGGAGAGATTACTCTGTAAGTGGAACATCCCAGGAAAGGCAAATAACAGCAGATACTCTTGCAATGATTATTGCAATAGTTACATAACAGCTGTTTTCTCTGGAGATTTAAGTGCAAAGGGGATACAGACCTGGATCCTGCCATTTCCCATCACTCCCTGCCAATATTGGTTTATATGCTTAACTTTCAGCAATAAGGTAAAAGCAATATATAGCATAAATGTCCTTATCAGGCTGTATTTTGAACTACCTGCTGTACTAAACTGTTTAACCTGCTTATCCTAACTATTCAAAGCTCATTAGAGACTAAAAAGCAAAACTTCTGAGGGGAAACAATAACTAAATCTGCTTTTTTTCAGAAGGCAAGACCAGCTTAAATCATACAGTTCTGGGGTTCTGTAGCTCTGATAGAGCCAATAAATATAAAAAAAAAAATCACAGCAAATGATTTTTTAATGGGAACTTAACATGACAATCCTCCTCTTTCAACTGAAACTGGCCTGAGCTTGTTGCTATAATGGATGCAAGTGATCTCAGAATGAACTGCTATCAAATACTTCACAGAAAAATGTGACATGTGGTGCAATTTTGCAATGAAAACTAATCTGAAAAAAAAATAAATCCATGCAGGCCCACCCACCCAGCCCTAGATATAGCACTGGATTTTTATCAGTTTTAAGGTTAAAACAATGTTATTTTTCTCTTACTTTGCTTCTTCATCTCTAGCAACAAGCAGGGACATGTGATTAGATGCTGATGCTGTTCTCAAGATGTCTACAGCCCTAGAAGGGGGAAACCAGCCAAATAAATAAATATATCAGGGTGCTGTCAAGAAGTACACAGTGAGTAATGGCAAAAGAGAGGAAAATGGACAAATTCCTACCATAGTTCATAATTTTCACTGCCAGATACAGAGAAAAGAGCTTTCCAGCAGCATAACCCCAACCAAGCATTGGAGAATGGAGCAACAACAGGATTTCTCTCAGCAACATATATGACAATTTTTCTTTGAATTTTCAATCTATGCCTCTAGCACTAAGATGTAGAGACCTGTAGTGCTCCTGCTACACAAATCATCTACAGGTGTTTTAAAACCATTTCACCTTCATTGTCCCATTACTTGTTAGCTGCATCATTTCCATTCACTGGTACTGAACCAACAGATAGCTATAAAAACATTTTAACAGCTCAATATGTTCTAATGCTCTTTTCACACACATTCTGTAATCTAGGTCATTAACAAACCAGCTTGTTCTGGCATGATAAAAGCATAAAAAGTCCTTCACTTTTCCATGATAGCTTTGCTGAATTAGACAAATTAATTGCCAGTTAAACTCCAAGGACCTCAGTGGAGTTGTGCTCTTTTCATCTGCGGTCAATACCATCCAGAAAATCCACATATAATATTCCAAGTTCTAACAAACATCTAGCAATCAGTCCAAACATACCTTTCATTTGTGACTCCAATCAAGTTCTCTCCATTGACATCCAAAATCAGGTCCCCAGTGAGCAAACGGCCTTGTAACAAAATCAGCAGAACTCACGAATCAACAGGCAAACAGTGAACATATCACATCAAGGTATTAAACCAGGACTTGTTTATTTAATTCATGCAACCTCATGCAATGAACAACTTGACTTTTCACAGATTCCTTTCTCATCCTAAGTAAGGTCAGTTATTGTGATAAGACCAGTAATTATCCATCAGTCATTAACCACAGAATAGTCATTGAAAATCATTTAGCTATTTGTATGATTTACACACAGGACAAATATTTGTGGGACTGGAATTTATATTTCACAGCTGTGGAGTTAACTCTAAGTTGTATTTTGCTCTTAACAGCCATGTAAGTTACCATGTATACAAATATTAATGTTATATACAAATTCTATTTCTTAACCTTTTGAAAATCTCAAGTTTAGGAACTTGAAGTTGATTCAGATTACTTTAAATGATCACTTTGCACAAGACCAGATGGAATCTCACAAAAACCCATATAGAAACCTGGGACAGAAGTCTATATGTTTATTATTACAAACTCTATTCAGTATGATTTCTTCTTCCCACACTGAACATCTTCACCAACATTAAAAAATAAATAATATAAATTACCAGAGCTAATTAAAACCACTAGTTCTGGACAGGAAACACAACTCTTATCCTTTATGAAACAGAAGAGGTTCAACATCTTAATCAACAGTGCCAATTGCCTTCACACCAGCCACATCTAAATTTGAACACATTTTCAACACCTGAGTATTAAAATCTTTCCCCGAGAAGGCTCCATGTTTCATTTCTCTCTTAAATCCACTTTAAGATCCTGACACTTCATGGATCCTGACTAAAGCATGATGCTTTAAATATCCTTACCTACAAAGTAAAATAACGACTTCTTTTGGCAGCTTTTTATATGCAGTGTGTTTGCAACAAAAAAAAACCAACAAAATTACTTACTATCTATAGCAGCAACCCCTCCAGGAAGAATTCTCTTGATGAAAATCCCATAATCTTCTGCAGTTTGTGCTCGATAACCTCCAATAATTTTAACTCCTGCAGAACAAAGAAAAAGAAACAAGTAAGAAATTGGTTGTATTCACAGTAAAACCCATAAAAGCCAGATAAACTTTTACTGATGAGAGTGTGAACTGGAAAAGCTCAGCAGGTGGTTTCAGTACTCTGACACAACAGAATGAGCAGTGGAGTTACCTAATCCATTCTGACAGTCAGAGAAGGAGATGCGGTGAACAGCTCGATTGATTCCGTGAGGGCCCATAATGGTCCTACAGAACAAAAAAGTCATTAAGTGACCCCAATTACAGAAATGTATTTAGAGCTACAGTAATACAAAAGAAACTACAGTGCCCATGTTTTTAACCCTAACACAAACCAAAACCAGTTTTCTCCACTGACAACTTTATATTGTTTGATACCTCTGCCCATCCCTTCCCCACCCAAAGATCAATCTCCTCATCACAGATATCAGATGCCAAGGTACAAGAAAGTAGACATAGTTTACTTCCTTTTTCCCCCCAAAGCATTTCAGGCTGAACTTATAATAAAAGGATCATGATTAAATACAAACAAAGTCCCACAACCTGGTCCAGCTTAGCATTTAGGCAAGAAAAACATACCACAACATCTTGGATTAGGTACTGAACACTGAAACGAAATCGCAGCTAAGACAGAGCATACGAAAGTATTTTCTAACATATAATTTTGTG